AGCTGCCCTTGGTGCCCCTTGTGAAGTGCATTTCACAAGACACACTGTCCTGTCACTTCCAGTGTTCCCTTGGCAGGACGCAGAGCCACAGCAGTGGCAGGGACAGGCACTCCTTATGCCACAGGGATAAATGCTGCTGTGCCTGGGAAAGCACAGGGATGGGAGTTGGGACTCATGTTTGACAAACAGCTTTCCAAACATTCCCACTCTGGCTGTCAACAAACTCACTGTTCCAGACTGCCCTGTTCTTAACAGGTGTGACTGCTGCATCCACAGGCACCTCTGCTTTTCACAAGCCCTGGCTGTGCTCCAAGAGCTACTGCTCCATTTCCTGGCTCCATTCAGGGAATTCAATCCACCTAGCTGCCTGGTCTGGCACACACCCTGCAGGACACTACAATCAGAAGATTCTGATCCTGATCAAGATCACATAAAACATTTAGTCGTGAATGTAATATGAGGAGAAAGCTGAGGAACAACCTGTTTTGTTGCTCCAGGAAAGTGACCAGTGCTGCTGCCCTGACCATATGAGGAGCCAATTTGTAATGTTGGCAGTGCAGTTTGGCACAGACAACTGCAGCGTTGCAGGCTCTGGTGTGTACCCAGTGTCTCACCAGGCTGCTGACACTTCCCAGCTGTGCCAGGCTCTGCAGTTCATCCAAAGTGGGAAAGTGCCTGACCTCTAACAGAGCCAATTTTGCTGTTCAGTCACAGTATTCTGTCCAAACAATACTGCTAAGACTCATCACTTCACACCACTAAGCAGATGTTTCATTGCCTTCCATCCCATTTGTCACCTGACAAGAGCAGCCATGGGATGGGAAGGCAGCAGGCCCAGCACAACACTGGCAGCGACCAGAAGTGCTTTGCAGTGAGGCAGAATTCACATGTGCAAACTGAGTGCAGATTTATAGTGACCCATTCTGCAAAGTCTAGAACTCAAGAACCCACACAATTCCTATTTTTCCCAGACAATAACCTGAAAAAGCATTGAGATGAAGTTTTCAGGAAAGCAGGACTACATCCAGCTGCAGTATGTACCAATGTAAAAATGTAAAACATAAAAAGCATGAGTAGGGTAACAGACAGAAAACAGATTATTAGACTTAAAGGCACTTAATTTACTAGATTTATTTAAGCAGCATCTTGGAATGAATTGCTCTGTCAGTGAGGAATCACAGACATGCAGGAAAAAGTCTTTGGGGCTCTCAGATTCCCCTTTTTTCATCACCATTAATTACACCAGCTGCAGGCAGATCACACCCTCTGCAGCCCTGCTTGAATCGACCTGGCAGTGTCTTTTGTCACAGGGGACAGGTAAGTCACTACAAAAGGTGAACACAGGGCACACGGGCAGTGGGACTGCACTGCCCAGTGTAGTGTGGAGATGCAGCAGATATATAGAGATAAATAAATAAAATTTAAAATTTTAAAATATCATGCATACAAACTGGTTCTAGTTTCCCCCTCGTCCTCTGTTAGAGGTAGAGAAAACAGGGCCCCATGGCTGAGCTCATTCCTCCTGGAAACCTGAGCACAGAGTGTGGGATGAATCATTGCTATCACCTGCACTGGCACCAGCAATGCCACACAATTTTTCATGGCACTTCTCCTCTCCTAAAGAAGTCTTCTACCAGCTCATCAAATGTCTCTGAGGAATTCTGCTTTAGGATACTTAAGGGACTGAGTAAATACTGCTCTGCAAATCCAATTGGAAAGTGCTCACGGGAAACAGGTGCCTGGCTAACAGTGCTGGCTCCTCCTGCTGCTCCTGGCTGTTCCCTGCTCAGCTCTTCCTTCCCTTTCTCCTCGTCCCTGTGACAAGTACGACCTTCTTTTGGGCAGAAAGCTGACTCACAGCAGTGCTGCTTAGGAGCTTTAACACCTGTTAGCACTTCAGGTTTCTCAGTATATTTCTCTGGGGACTCATAAACAACTCCTTGGGGTGCAGAATGCAGCGTGGCTCTTTTCCAGAGACACGTGGGTGTCTGTGCCCTCCTTTGGTTTTTGGATTCTTGCACAGGCTTTGGGACTGTGAAGTCAGGAAGTACCTGAGGGGCAGAGCTCAGGTATTCCTGGAAGTAAACCTGGCACGTGCTGCCCTTCACAATGGGGATGATGGAGCAAGGCTTCAGCCACTTCACAAACTCGCACAGCTCCGAGAAGGACGAGTGGTCGGAGTACGGGATGGGGTGGAT